TGGCCGATGATCTGCCGTAGTCCAAAGCGGCACCTTCCACAAAACCGAGCTCCCAACCGTTCTTCCGAGAGCCACTGTCACAGCCAGCGACCGGGAGCTCCTCGCCTCTCCACGTGGAGCCGGCTCCGGGGCGACACATCGGAGTGACGCACCGGCCCGGTGGCGGCGGCCGTCAGCCCGGCGCCGCCGCCTGTTTTAGCCGCCGACGCCGTCTCGACCAGCTCCGGTTTCGGTAACGGGAGCGATTCAGGCGGTTCGACGAGGCACGCCTCATGCGTCGACGGCGTCTGGCGGCGCCATCGTGTCGGAAAGCGCGCTCGAACGTGCTTCGCCCACCCGCAGCGGACCGGACCGGCGGCGGGATCGGCTGATGCCGCAGGACATTGGCTGCGAACGCCCCCACTCACATGAGCACTCGCAGCAGCTCCTATTTAGAAAACCGCAGCCTTCCACAATTAATCCGGCACCACACAAGCTGTCGGAACTCAAGCGGCGGAGGCTCAGAATCTCACGGCATGCCGCTCTGGAGAGGAGCGCCGCGCCAACGCAGCCGCTCTGGTCGTGCCCACGCGCTGGGAGGCCGTGTCAATCGCTGGTGCTCCCCGTCCTGGGAGGTTCGGTAGTGCTCAATCCGTGTTGCTCAATCGATGGTGCTCCCGCACTGGGAGACCGAGACAAACCTCCGGGACGGATGATCGGCCATCCGTGGGTAATGGGATGACCGTGGGAGAGTGGCCGACGCCATTCCGGAAGATGAAGTGAACAGAATAGCCCAGACCAGATCGCCTTGGAGTCAAGCCACTGAGCCGTGCCATGTTACGCACTCACAATCTGCGTGCCAAAATAAGCACAAAGTATTTAGCCTTGCAAGGCTTAATATTGGTTATCATGCCAAAAAAGGGTCATTGGGAATTTGCCAGTCATCGCGATGATCCAGTGAAAACCGAATCGTGCTACCTAAATCTGTACCACGCTTCAGTTTGGATTATTTCTATCAGAAAAACGCACAGCTGCCCGTAAGCGTGTTTTCACGGCCGCAAACGCCGCCACCGAGCGGCTGCCCATGAGCGGCTGCCCATGTTCGACCAGCCCCGATCCCGGCGCGCTCGACTCGCTCGCAGTGTCGGCCAAACCGGCCTGCGTCTGGCGACCGTGGAGAATGCCGGCGATCTGGCGGCCGTGGAGAATGCCGGCGATGAGCCGCTGCCAGGACCAGCGTGCGACTTCCGTTGACATTACAAAGGAAGCCAAATCAAACGCTTCCGGCACGCGAGTAACCGGGCGCAGAACGAGTCCAGAGCCGACAGCTGGCCGAAACCGGCACGATCAGCACGTGGGGCGGAGCCGGCCGACACGCATCAGCTTCGAGACCGCTTGGGATTGGTGATATCGTAACGAAAACCATCGCGTAATATCGGCATCACAACTGGCCCGTGCTCCAGGATCCACGACGGTGGCAGGCGGGCCGTGGCAGGAGAAAGGACGGAGTGGGTAAAGACAATATTTTGAAGTTGGTGTCAGCCCGGTCTATACCAAACAACTTCAGTTTCTTGTTGGTCTTCGACCACTTGATTTTGAGGTTTGAGAAAGGTTTGTCGACGATTAGTCTGTTTTCCCCGCTTTCATTATTATTGCCGTGCTCAAAAGGCGAACGGTTGGAGGAGAGCTCAATTCCTTTTTAAGCTGACTTATCTGGAACATTGGCAGAGAGAAGGAGGGGAGGGGGGGGGGGGGGCAGGCAGGCCATGATGGCTCCCGCCCCACTGCGTGGCGGCACCGCAGTCGGGAGCCTGGCCGGGTCAGACCGGCGGCAGACGCCGCAGTGCACCACAAAGGTCGCTCACCAGCTGGTCGACCTTTACGAAGGTCATAATGGCGGCTGGGACTGAATCAAGGGGTTGACAAACCTTCCCGGAAGGTCACGGCACAGACGCTGTGGCAAAGACGGGCCGCTATTTTGGTCGGGCAAACCGACTGTGTGATCCACTGTAGTGCGAGACGGCACGGAGTGCACGCGCCCGTGCCGGATGCCGCGATAAAAGACGACCGGAAGTTAGACAACAGACCACAGAGCGCACAGGAGGCCAAGATTCGGCGCCTTTTGGCGCTCGTGTGCCGGTCAAGCGATCGCTGAAAGCTCTAAAGACTTTTCCCCGACCGTCGATATATTTAGGAAAAGACAGGCGGATCGTATAGGGTTTCATTCGAATCAAACCACACTTTCTTTCAAGGGCAAACTGCTAAGGAATGGCTGGTGATTTGCCAGAAAAGAGCTAGTCTGGTTGAATGGCATGACACCGCTATCCAACACTGCATAAGGACTTCGTGTAAGGGGAAGCCGTGAACATCCTCCGGCCTGAGCTCTACGAAAAGACGTGAATGGAAAGCTCCGCACCTGTTTCCGGTGGGAAAAGCAGTTTGAAGCCAAGTGGCAAGGTTATATATTCGTAGATTCGCGTCATCCCGAACAGTTTGCATCTCTGATTGAATCTAACATTCAAATAAGCGAATACATTAGCTTTATTAAATTATGCGGACAATTTTACACATTGACAAGGGTCGCTCGCTTCTAGTCGTAAAGTGGAAAGGAAAGTGAATCCAGGGGCAGGCCACGTGACACGTCCTAGATTACTTATTGGGTTAGACTCTTCGGCGCGTCTGTCATACACAACAGATGAAGCAATTTTCTCCATCGTTGCACCAAGTTGTTAATCACGTGTCTGGCCCTTTCCCCGCCCAGACACAGCTAGCATAGACAGTCTTGGTAATTTAGCACTCTACGTCACGTGACGATCAGAGCCCTGTCTTGACAAAACACAAGATGACGCCGGCGGCGGCCACGCCCACAGACCGACCGACGCCCCGCCTCCCCACGCGCCGCACTGCAAGTGGCGCGCGCGCGGCCGCCAGTGCGTGTCCGGAGGCCAAATGTCGTGTTTTTGCCGCCACGACGGGTGATTATCCAGATGGAATGAGAACGGAACAGGGGCGGGTCGGCCCCTGTAAGCTGCGGCGCCGACATCGGCCGCACGGAATCCGCGACCCTGACAACACCGCCGCCGCCGCCGGTGACAGCCGCCGCTCCGTGACGGCCTCTGCCGGTGCACCGGAAAGCTCCGTCAAAGGCTCTAGCTTAATTGGCGAGGTGGTTCCGGCCCCATCAGCGCATGCCGGCAAGAGAGCCGCGAGGCATTGTCTGTGGGGCGACTCGCCGCGGCCGGCGCCGCTACGTCTGGTGTGGCGAAGGGCGGCGGCGGCGGCGTCAGAGCTGCTGCACCCGTCCCCGCCCGCCCTTCGTTTGCTGACGGCTGTTGTATTGCGCCAGGTGCGTGACCAGTGGCAAAACTGCGGCCGTAATACAGAGCAGAGGACACTCAGCAGCCTTCAGAGCTCGCCAGCAGTGGAAGCACGCCGCATCAAAGAGGGCAGACAATGACGCCGGGAATAGGCAGCGATGGCCTTACTAAAACGGTCCATGCCGATCGCACGCGATCGGTCCACTTGCACAGCCGGCATCAAATACAAAGTAGCACAGCTGCAGGCACATGCACGGTCCGCACACATGTCAGCACCTGCGCTCTGACTGCGGCAGCGGTTTTAGCAGCGGCGGTGACAGGGCCGGGCGGTGGTCTGTGCTCCTTCACATTCCTAACAGCGAAGTGTCGGCGCGCGCCGAGTGGGTGCCGAGCAGGTCACCCGAGGCCCGGGAGGAGCTCGGGCCGACCACTTTGCGAGGGCCGGGCTACAGTAGGCAAGGCCACTTGCACGCGCTATCAGGGTGTCGCCATCAACGCAGGGGCGGGCCGGGCTAGGCCGCCCTCTAGATGCCAAGCATCACTTCGCGACTACAGCCGGAAGTCCTATCACCGCCATCGGGATAGTTTCATGCTGGCAATGCCTTTGGCTGGGCTTCTTTTCCTGGTAACCGCTAGCTCAGTCGGACATATCGTGAAAAAAGAACAGGTCGGGGCACACGCCTGCTGACCACGATTTTCTGTGTAGATCATAGTCTTGCCTTCTGACCTGTCCCCAACGACACACTGCTGCCTTGACTCGTCATATCCCCATCCTTTGTGTTCCAGCGGTACACCTGGCCTGTTGTCCTCTGTCGCCCTCTGTGCCGGACCTATGGTGCGGTGCCGGCGGCGCGCCGGCGCTCTCCCCCGATCCGGTGGTGGTGCCCGCCCTGGACCGGCCGTCGGCCAGGCGCTCCGGTGAGTCAGCTGGGCGCCGCTCGATAACCGCCGGCCACGCCCGACCAACGGCGCGACGCCGCCGGCTAAAAACAGCCCGCCGCGCCCCGGCGCGGCCGCGCCGCCGGCGCCGACTCCTCCGACTCCTCCGACCGGCCGGCGCGCAGGAAGCGGTGAACCGCACCGGCAGGAAACAGCGCCGGTGGCGCCAGCGATCGGTCGGGGACGGCGCAAGGCCAGCGGCGGATACTTCGGAGGACTGGGGTTCAGTCCCGGCTTCTCCGGAGGACTGGGTTCAGTCCCCGGCTTCTCCGGAGGACTGGGTCCAGCCCTCGGCTACCGGAGCTGGACTGGAAAGCACGGCGGATGATGGAACGCTTGGAAGGGGCTGGATGTTGGGATTACTGAAGCTCGCGGGCGGAGGTGGAGGCTCAAAGATACGGTCAAGGTCACGTCAGGTCAGCCGCACAGCTGACAAACATGAATGAAGTGAAAGGGACCAGAATGTTCCACTCCTGTTCCACACTTTACGACAGGCCGTAAAATGAGCTGTCCCCTTCAACACGCGTTTCAACTTAATTGAATTTAAAAGGCTGCCGATATGTTTATGAGCGGCGTAGCTATGTTTAGATGTGCACAGGTTGCGGTTCGCCAGGAGATTGTCTATGTTAACCCCTTTTTATATCATCACACGGGAAATAATATTTAAATGGACGTGCTTTGCCAATGAGAGCTCACAAGCACACGCGGCGCTCCGCGACGGCGTCGAGACTGGGCGGCCGCCCGGCCGTTGCCTGCGGCACTCACCTGGGTCACGCAGGACGACAGGCGCCGTCGGCGTCGGCTGGTGAGCGACGACACGCGGTGCGCCCGAGGCGGGGGGTGCCGGCGAACTGGCCGTGGACCGGACACGGGCCGGCGCCGGCACCAGCTGACTGCGGCGGGGCGGTGGCCGCCGCGCCGGCGCCTTTCAGACCGGCCGGCTGCGGCCAGCGCCATCTCCGCGGCCCCGATCCGCGGAGACAGGCCGTTTCCCGGTGAGGCGTGCGCGAGATTGAACCGTCTCGCGACTCAGTGTGAGGAGGGATGCGGCCGTCTCCCGGCGCCGCGTGCAGAACGACCGGGCTGCCTCCTGGCGCAGCGTGGAAGGAGACCGGGCTGCCTCCTGGTGCAGCGTGGAGGGAGACCGGGCTGCCTCCTGGCGCAGCGTGGAGGGAGACCGGGCTGCCTCCTGGCGCAGCGTGGAGGGAGACCAGGCTGCCTCCTGGCGCAGCGTGGAGGGAGACCAGGCTGCCTCCTGGCGCAGCGTGGAGGGAGACCGGGCTGCCTCCTGGCGCAGCGTGGAGGGAGACCGGGCTGCCTCCTGGTGCAGCGTGGAGGGAGACTAGGCTGCCTCCTGGCGCAGCGTGGAGGGAGACCGGGCTGCCTCCTGGCGCAGCGTGAAGGGAGACCGGGCTGCCTCCTGGTGCAGCGTGGAGGGAGACCAGGCTGCCTCCTGGCGCAGCGTGGAGGGAGACCGGGCTGCCTCCTGGCGCAGCGTGAAGGGAGACCGGGCTGCCTCCTGGCGCAGCGTGGAGGGAGACCGGGCTGCCTCCTGGCGCAGCGTGAAGGGAGACCGGGCTGCCTCCTGGTGCAGCGTGGAGGGAGACCAGGCTGCCTTCTGGCGCAGCGTGAAGGGAGACAGGGACTGCACTATTGGTGCAGAAGAGACTGCACTATTGGTGCAGCGCGCATATAAACTTCAGCTAGTGAGATGGCAACCAAGAGCACGTGGAAAAAACGTCTATGGAGGCGATGCAGTCGTCCAGCATAGCTAAACAAGACCATAGACAACAATCCACTGGTTTGAAGTCGGTTTGCTGTGTTTCCCTAATGCGTAACGTTCGGGACGAATCAGCCGCCACACTAACACTTGTTGACCTTGTTTTAAATGTGCTATGATGAATCATCCAAGCTTAAATATCTAAAAAAACATATTGCAGGCATACACTTTGGCAAAGCTGTAACAGCATGCAAGAGTGGTTTTCACGTCCTACGCGTTACGGAGTACCGTATCAACGGCGTAGTTTGGATGGGCCGTAAACTTGCTTTTTGCTCCGGACTGTTGTTGACGGCTGAAACACAAGCTGCCTTTCGTTAGAGCAGAACCTTTTGCCGTGGTCATATACAACGGACATCTTTCTGTCCAAACCTATATCGTGGACACCAACGACCAAGTTGCAAACGAAGCTAAATTAATGACAGCTAAGACAGGCTGCGCGAAGCTTGGACGACATTTTAGCGACAGTTAAAACAGGAAATTTGTCTACAAGAGCCTGTGCATTCAGCATTACTCTCTTTTCTGTAGATAAGCACTTGTGTTTGTATTTGTTTGCTCGAAAACTATCCACGAGGTGACTTTTCAAATCGTCGACTCGTTACAACGTTTGCTAGCTTCCGTTCGTTACATCACTCACGCGTTACAACACATTACCAAAAATTACCGCAAAAAAGACAAAAATATCTACGTTTTGAAATGCGAGTTTTTTTAATCTCTCAGAAGCCGGAGAGGAAGACACAATGGTGGTCGGAGGCAGGCGGCTCCAAGCTGCCGCGACAGCTTCGTATGCTCTGTACCAGCTTCCAGAGCGGACAGTGGAGTGCGGCCTCGGTCCACCTCGGCCCACCGGGACGTGACTGTTGCAGCGCCTATATCTCAGGCGGAGTGCGGCCTCGGTCCACCTCGTCCCACCGCGACGTGACTGTTGCAGCGCCTATATCTCAAGTGGAGTGCGGCCTCGGTCCACCTCGTCCCACCGCGACGTGACTGTTGCAGCGCCTATATCTCAGTCTAAACGGGACAGGAGTGGGAAGATCGCAGTATTACACACATCCCCTACGCGCCGTGTATGTACGCCTAGAGACTGGAGCAGCCAGGACCCTGGCCTAGCCAGTACAGATCAGGCCGGGACCCTGGCCTAGCCAGTACAGATCAGGCCGGGACCCTGGCCTAGCCAGTACAGATCAGGCCGGGACCCAGGCCTAGCCAGCACAGATCAGGCCGGGACCCTGGCCTAGCCAGTACAGATCAGGCCGGGACCACGGGCGGCGTGGGGAGAGCGGCCGCATATCCACAATAAGCAGCGCGCCGTGTTTGCCTATAAAACAGAGCCGGGCCGCGCTTATTGGATCTGGGAAGAGGCGGCCGCGCAAGCGACACAATAAAGATCGGCTCTCCCAACGCAAACAAAACAAAAACAGTCATCCATTGGGGGTTGGCTGCCTGATCAGATCCTTACAGCACGTAAGGCAGAGAGAATAATGTGTTAAGTCAGAGCGAATCTGCGTCGGGAGACGAAGCTCAGGAATAACACTCAGCAGCGCAGTCTATGGAAGAAGTTTGCATTGCATGCACGCTGTAAATTGACGTGATCGAGATATGTCTCTTGCAGCGCAGTCTATGTCCGCATTGTGCCGTAATGTAAATACGGGTGACTCAGCGCCGTACGACACCGGTCGGCCGGGATTCCACTAATCTTACAGTGTTGTTAAAGGTGCTGGGACGACAGCAAGCCCTCCCCCTCCCCCCCGCCAGCGACGCAGCTGACCGCGCTCTGCGGATGACCTCGGTGACCCTGCGGCGGTGGGCCAGACACGGCGGCCGGCGGCGATCGATCGGCGGCCCCGGCAGCGCCGCCGGACGGCACGGCACCGCGCCACAGCCCCTGCAGACGCCAACAGCGCCGGAGGTCTGCCCAGCGGCGCACACCGGCGCCGGCGGATCCTGGGGCACGCCCGGCTGGCGGAGCACGCTCTCTTCGGAGCTAACGGTTCTCTAGCCACGAGGCAGAAGAGGGGCAGAGAGCGCAGGAAAGGGGACTAATGGAAGACAGCAGACAGCATGGTCCAGGGGTGGATCCAGGATTTCGTCGAGGGGGGGGGGGGGCGGGCAGACAACATTGTGGAACTCCTTAGAGTTTGGGGCCCCCTAAACAATATGATTGCATCTCGGTCATTATGTTTCAAGACAAATGGCATGCAGCATGTGTGTATTGAGTACATCTGTATTGCACATATATATATATATATATATATATATATATATATATATATATATATATATATAGCATACATATAGAAACCCATCTTACTGCACGCAACTCTATGAAGCTATGTGTGCTACGTATGCATATACATAGAGCTCATTCATCTTCTACAGATGATGTCAAATCCTGTAATTTGGGGCTAAGTATTTCGGAACAACAGGGAGAACTGACTCGAATTGGCTGCTAGCAGCCATCAAAACCAAGCACGGACTTGATTCCTAGCTTATTTACGGCTAGGCGGCTGGGCGATGTAATCAGCTGATGGCTGATGGCTAATACATAATTTTTCCTTTGTTATCAAGTAGTGCAAAATATGTTAAGGACGTGATGCACTAGTATCATAAGTGTCACACACTCACTTTCACACACACACTCAAATTCAGTGGATAGGACACATGCGACGTGGCGGCACGTAAAATTAAATTCGGCAATTGCGCGTAAAAATTCACAGATGCTTTTCCGACTGCTTCTCTAAGGCGAAGGCGCCAAGGCTGATAGGGACGAAACCTGAGAGATCATGGATGCTGCAGGAGGTTGACAAAGTGGCCCCCGTCAACAAGCACAGGGTCCTCAGAGCAAGCAAAAAGAACCTAAGACTAACGTGGTGGGCCCTAAACGATTGGTAGTGCCCTGACTTGCTGACATAAAGACCCTTGCCAGAGCACAGTACCCCCTGAGCAAATATAATTATCCAGACCATGAACTGATACCCGTGCGCGATCAGGAGAGCACGGGCAGATTAACAGAAAGAGCCTCGACAGGAGTGAAGAGTCCTCCGCAAATGAAATCAGAGGGAAAGACCCCTCGCTCAAATTAGAGAGGCCTTGAGCATCGAGTGTCTCGGTGCCTTACCTTATAGAGCCCCAGCAACAGCACAAGGCCCTCCAAGCAAGTGGAAAAAGCCCGAGTCTAATATGAGGGGCTCCTGAGCAACTGAGCGTGCCCTGGCATATGCGGCCCCGGAAAAAACGTGAGGAGCCTTTCGGGCGAATGGGAAAAATCCGTGGAGGAAAACGTGCATTGATCAAAAGTGCCCAGGCGTAGAAGCAGATAGCGTCGCAACAACAGCGTTAAGCCCTACAAGAAAACGCAAAGAGGTCAAGGGCAACGCGGGAAGCTCCCCAGCGATCAAATCGGCCCGGCAAGTGGACATAGTGGGCCAGGGCAACCAACAGCGTAATGCCTCAGGACAGTGTAATGAACCCCAGAATTTACCCCAAGCAACCCCCTCTCAATCAGCGTAGGATTATCTTCGTTTGCCTATGAACTCTTCACTTTTGCTAGCACTGGTTCTTGGTCGTCTGTAGACCCAAAGGCGTCCAATTTTGTCGCGTTTTTGTTGGTCGAAAACTGCATCCGTTCGGCCGGTTATGGACCTTCGGAGCCTTTAGGTCCCCTCGGCATGGTCCAAGGGGACATAGCCCCGTGTCTCAACCCCTCCCCCCCCCCCCCATCCGCATCCACCACCGGCCCGAGCAGCTTATCGGATGGAGCCCGCCAAGACTATAGGACCATCTTTTCAAATAAGAAATGCTCACGACACAAGGTGTAAGGCTCTGAACGATCGAGTTTGACCGAGCGGGGTGACATATAGGGTCCCCGTCAATAGGGTAGGGCCCTCCATTCAAATAGGAAGAGCCCAAGACCCAGTGCAGAGGGTTCCCGAATGATCGAGTGTGCCCGAGCAGGTTAACAGATGGGGCTTCCAACAAGAATGTAGGGCCCTCCATTCAAACGGGAAATACCCACGGCCCGATGTAGAGGTTCCCCGAATGATCGAGTGTGCCATATCGTGTTAACATATAGGGTCCCCGTTAGCATCGTAAGGCCCTCC